CTGATAAAATGGTTTGTGTCAAAGCAGACCACATAAAATGTAGATTACGTGGACTTTTTTCCTCTCTAATACACATATAGCACAAACAATATATATGTATTTTTTAAGCTGAAATCCAGTTGATTCCAACTCATGGCAATCCCATTTGTCTCAGAGTGAAACTGTGCTCCAGACTGCTATTAGTGGCGCTGATCTTTCAGAAGTAGACGCCCTTGGGGATATGGCAAAGTTGGGGGAGAGAGGGAGCTAATAACAGTGCATTCAGGAATGAAGAAAAGGTTCTAAGACTGACTGTGCTGTTGACTGTATGACTACTTGATGTGACTGAACTGTTGAATTGTATGATATGTGAATTATATGCCCATAATACTGTTTTTAAAAAAGATCACCAGGCCTTTCTTCACCGTGCCTCTGGGTGAATTTGAACTGCCAACCTTTCTGAGAGTAGCCAGGCGTTTGGCCATTTGTGTCCCCCAGGGAGTCCTCTACAACTGCAATACTCTATGTAACTCAAGTGGGGGCATAAGTCAATCTGTGACACTATCTCATCAGGTCAAGAAGGACACCCACCAACAGTTCCCTGGCAGGGGGAGGGGAGGAGAGTGGCAAAGGAGTTGATATTTGTCACACTCTCAACTTTTTAAAAGGAGAAAGAAAGCATTTATTACTCACAGACGTGCAAAGCTATTGTGAAAACAATCACACAGCTCTGGGCGCATAGAAGGATGAAAAGCCTAGTTCTTTAATGCTTCCTCCCCCCACTGTCACGATCCCAATTCTATCTTACAAATCCGACTAGACCAGAGCATGCACACTGGTACAGATCAGAGCTGGAAACACAGGGAATCCAGGACAGATGAACTCCTCAGGACCAACAATGAGAGTAGCCATACCAGGAGGGAAGGTGGGGTAGAATGGGGGAACCGATCACAAGGACCAACATATAAGCCCCTCCCTGGGGGACACAGACAACAGAAAAGTGGGTAAAGGGAGACATCGGACAGTGTAAGACATGACAAAATAATAATAATTTATATATTATCAAGAGTTCATCAGGAAGGGAGAGTGGGGGCGGGAGTGGGGAAAAGAGGAGCTGATCCCAAGGGCTCAAGTAGAAAGCAAATGTTTTGAGAAGGATGACGGCAACAAATGTACAAATGTGCTTGACACAACGGATGGATGTATGGACTGTGATAAGAGTTGTACAATCCCCCAGTAAGATGATTTTTAAAGAAAGATGAAAGGCAGACTTCGTGAGAAAGTGCCAGTGTACAGTGCCTGCCCCTCTCGGTAGAAGATAGGGCATCTCTGTTTTCCTTCCTTGCATCTTCCCTTGCTCCGTGGGAACTCTGGGGGCAGCAACCACTAAGCCTGAGGACCCAGACTTCTGCCTTAGAAACAGGACTTGCTAGGTAGCCGGGCAGGTTGGGAAATGCCTCTCGTTGGGAAGGTTGGGAAATGCCAAGAGAGGCAGTGGCAGTTCTGGCTCAGGGACAGTTTCACTGTGTCCCATGATTAGGCCGAGAGAGGAAGCTGGGCCGCCTTGTAGTTATCTGAGCAATTTACAGCATGTTCACCTGACACTCGCTAACAGGTAATAAAATACAAATACGTGGAGTAATCCCCATCTCTGGAGTGGGAGAGATGTCCCTCTCCCATTTAACAGAAGAAGAAAAACAAAGGCGGGGCCGACAAGGCTCTGGTGAACAAAACCCATCGTCATCGAGGAGTGAGAACATCACCTTGTTTCATCTATAGCCTTCAGGGGCGCAGACCCCTGGGGACGCAGGTATTGCACACTGGGCTGCTCACAGGAAGGTCAGCAGTTCGAAACCACAGTGGCTCCAGGGAGACAGGCCAGGCTTTCTAGTGCCTTCAACAGTTACAGTCTC